ATGTTATAATTGTCTTACCTATAACATAGTCACCAAATCCAATAGTGAACAATGTAATAAAACAATAATACCAAGATGTATGCATGTCCCAGTCTTCCACTGCTGAAATAATAATACTAGGTATAGTCACAAAACATATCAATCCAATAGAAATTAAAAATATCAAATAAAGATGACGAGCTATCTTTGGATGTTCTCTCGCCCAGTTGAACTTCTTGACTCTGTCCTCCAATTTTCTTGCTGGTTTGCCCAATTTCACTCCAATCTCAGCCAGTATCACAAGGCACAATGGGATACCAATTGAAGCAAAGACAATACAAAACGACTGACCACTTCTAGTCTCAGGTGAAATATTACCATAACCTAAAAACGAAACAAAATATGTCAAAATAAAATTCAAAAATAAATAAATAATAACATTTAACAAAAATGTGTTTTAATCATGGGCAATTTACAGACAACATGGATAGGATGCAGTGACAGGTATATGACTATTATGGAGGGGATGCAGTAACACATGTACAGATAATAAGGAGAGGGTGCAGTAGGCAGATAATATGAAGGGATGCAGTAGAGAGATGTGCAGATAATATGAAGGGATGCAGTAGAGAGATGTGCAGATAATATGGAGGGGATGCAGTAGAGAGATGTGCAGATAATATGGAGGGATGCAGTAGAGAGATGTGCAGATAATATGGAGGGGATGCAGTAGAGAGATGTGCAGATAATATGGAGGGGATGCAGTAAAGAGATGTGCAGATAATATGGAGGGATGCAGTAAAGAGATGTGCAGATAATATGGAGGGATGCAGTTGAGAGGTATGCAGATAATATGAAGGGATGCAGTAGAGAGATGTACAGATAATATGGAGGGATGCAGTTGAGAGGTATGCAGATAATATGGAGGGATGCAGTAAAGAGATGTGCAGATAATATGGAGGGATGCAGTAGAGAGATGTGTGGATAATATCGAGGGATGCAGTAGAGAGATGTGCAGATAATATGTAGGGATGCAGTAAAGAGATGTGCAGATAATATGGAGGGATGCAGTAGAGATGTGCAGATAATATGGAGGGATGCAGTAGAGAGATGTGCAGATAATATGGAGGGATGCAGTAAAGAGATGTGCAGATAATATGGAGGGATGCAGTAGAGAAATGTGCAGATAATATGGAGGGATGCAGTAGAGAGGTATGCAGATAATATGGAGGGATGCAGTTGAGAGGTATGCAGATAATATGGAGGGATGCAGTTGAGAGGTATGCAGATAATATGGAGGGGATGCAGTAAATAGATGTGCAGATAATATGGAGGGATACAGTAGAGAGATGTGTGGATAATATGGAGGGATGCAGTAGAGAGATGTGAAGATAATATGTAGGGATGCAGTAAAGAGATGTGCAGATAATATGGAGAGATGCAGTAGAGAGATGTGCAGATAATATGGAGGGATGCAGTAAAGAGATGTGCAGATAATATGGAGGGATGCAGTAGAGAGATGTGCAGATAATATGAAGGGATGCAGTAAAAGCATGTGCAGCAAATATGGTAGGGGTGCAGTGAGGAGCTGTACAATATCATAAAGGGGAAAC